TCCAAAACTGGCATTACCTGTCCCAAACAAATTCTCAACCTCAACACCACTGTACCCATCTCCCCCCTACCTCTCACCTACCGTAGTGCTCTCAAAGATCCCAATTGGCACAATTCCATGTGTGAAGAATTTAATGCTTTGATTAAGAATGACACATGGGAACTAGTACCCCCCTCCCCCCACCAAAATATTATAACCGGAAAATGGCTTTTTAGGCACAAACTTGGCCCTACAGGTGAGTTAACCAGGTACAAAGCTCGAGGGGTTGTTCGGGGCTTCAACCAGAGATTCGGAGTCGACTATGATGAGACATTTAGCCCTGTGATCAAGCCCGCTACTATACGCATCATTCTCAGCCTTGCACTCTCTCGAGGATGGCCGATCCATTAGTTGGACGTCAAAAATGCCTTTCTTCATGGCCATCTGCAGGAAGTTGTCTATGCCTCTCAGCCATCAGGATTCCAGGATCCTCACAGGCCCGACTATGTATGCAGGCTCAAAAAGGCTCTCTATGGCTTGAAACAGGCTCCTCGTTCGTGGTACCAACGATTTGCTGGGTTCATCTACACGCTAGGTTTTCGAGGGTGTAAGTCTGACACCTCTCTCTTCATCTACTCTCATGGGACAGACACGGCCTACCTACTCCTTTATGTTGATGACATCGTCCTCACAGCTTCCTCTGAGTCTCTCCTTCGGTGCCTCACTGAGCGCCTTAAAGGGGAATTTGCTATGACTGACATGGGCGACCTTCATTTTTTCTTGGGCATCAATGTTCACCGGACAGCACATGGTCTCTTTTTGCATCAAACACAGTTCACGCACGACATCCTTGAGCGTGCCGGCATGATCACTTGTCGTCCCATCTCCACTCCCGTCGACACGAAGGCCAAACTGTCTGGCACATCAGGCTCTCTCGCAGCCGACCCAGCTCTCTATCGCTCCATAGTTGGAGCCCTCCAGTATCTCACATTCACCAGGCCAGACATCTCCTACTCTGTTCAGCAGCTCTGTCTCCATCTACACGCCCCCCGAGATGCCCACGTCACGGCTATGAAGCGTGTCCTACGCTATCTTCGTGGCACCTCCACCTACGGTATGACTCTATCTCCCTCCAGCATAGATTCTCTCCAAGCCTATTCTGATGCTGATTGGGCTGGGTGCCCCGACACTAGACGATCCACATCAGGCTACTGTGTCTTCCTTGGGGACAACCTCATCTCTTGGTCCTCTAAACGCCAGGCCACTATCTCCCGATCTAGCGCTGAAGTAGAGTACCGAGCCGTTGCCAATGCCGTTGCCGAAACCAGCTGGGTCCGAAATCTTCTTCTCGAGGTACAACAGCCTCTACGCCGTGCCACACTTATCTTCTGCGATAACGTCAGTGCTGTTTACCTCTCCACCAACCCGGTTCAACATCAGCGCACCAAACACATTGAGGTAGACATTCACTTTGTTCGTGACAAAGTGGCCCTTGGCCAGATCAGAGTTCTTCATGTGCCATCCTCATCACAGTACGCTGATGGAATAGCCGGGAGCATGTTAAATATATACTATATTTATGTTAAATATATATTCTATATTTATTGTACACATATTGTTTCCTTTTGTATAATCCTACCATAACTAGGATTAGGAATAGCTTGTGTATATAAACACATGTACTCCCACATTATTGTTCAAGGAAATTCATAATTCTTCAGTATGAGTATTTTTCTTTTTAGTTGATAAAAAACATTAAATATAACCTCTCTTTCACAATTATTGTATTTTTTTTCACTTTTACCGCAAAGACATTAAAATACTATGGACATTATGAAATAGTGAAAAATGTATATACAAAAGACATCATAAGAGGTGACTAAAGACATTAATCTTCCAAGGAAAATAGACAATAAAAAGCAATTGAAATACTATGGACATTTTGAATTTTTCGTTGATAAATATATTTTAAGCTCAATAGATAATGTCCATCCGACAAAGGATATTGTTGGAGATGATGAGCAGCGGTGACAAACGGAAGCGGCAACACGGTGGGGGGATAGTGGCGGCGGCAATGTGGTTGGAGAATAGATAGAGTAATGAATTAGGGCTTAAAACCTACATGGGCAAAGGAACCTAAAAGAGCATTTTGATATATTAATATTAATTACTAAATAATTACTCCGTATTAATTAATTCGGGGCGGTTCATGTGACATTATCCGCTAATGTCATGGGATGACTAACTCGGGGGTGCTACGGTGCCCCGTCCTTAAAATTGGTTCATATCCCCTTAACACCCACCCCCGCCCTGAACACTCTCCATCCCCTTCAATTGCACCTTCCAAATTAAATTTGATTTAACTTTGAGTGCAAGTGAAGGGAGTGGAGGGGTGTGTTTGGGCCAAGCAGGGTTGGGGTTTACCAAGGCGGGGGTAGGGGGATAGGGACCGCCAGTTTTACGAATGGGGCACCGTAGCGCCTAGGGATGGGCGTGAAATCCGTTCCCGTTGGACCGTCTCGAAAAATCACGGATCCGTTTTGTAATTGTACCGATATATTCGGACACATTTTTTTTGTCCTAAACCCGTTCCGTCCCAATATCAAATGGGACATGAGCGGGACAACTTAAATTTATACCGATCCGTCCTGTTTGTCCCGTTTCATCTACTCTACTAATATATATTTATATAATACTAATTCTAGTCCAAATTCCAAATACATTCATTCATTAATTAATTAGTTATCTAATTAAATTAACTTCATGAACTTGAAATTTATTTGGACCCATTCCACTCATTGTTTTTTTGTTGGATGACTAGATGTTTCTTTTCTTTTAATGAAATGTCACCCTATTCCCCTTCTTATATTTGCGATTAGGACAAAGTAGGACGACCCGAATCCGTCCCATTTTATTCCGATCCCGAATTTTATGGGACAAACCGGGATTATGTTTTAATCCGAACCGTTCCGGACAAGTTATATATAACGGAACAAGACGTGGGACAACCTAAAATCCGGACCGTCCCAATCCGTACCCATCCCTAGTAGCGCCCCCAAGTCATCCCATGACAGGGATTCTAAATTGGATCCTATTTAGAGGGAAAAAACTTTTGTTTAGGAAAAATGACTGTTTTAGTCATATTTGTGTAAATTAGCCAATTTTGAAAAAAAAAAAATTAATAATGGGGTTCCAAGTGTAAATTTCATTCATTTTAGCGACTTCAAATGAGGGTTTAGGTGTATCTCAAATGCTCTCCTTTACATTAAAAGAAAAATTTATTGTTCACAAACGGACCAACTTTTAAATTTTAATGTACAATCTAAAACATTTTGCACTCGAACATTTCTTTCTTTATTCATGACAAGTAGATACAACGGCAGACACTACAGAGATAATGATGATAATGACAACGACAACAAATGACGGTGATGATGATGATCCATGTTGCAACCATCACACACTAAGCTTCGGCCTATAATCGGCATTGGCGAATGAACTAGTGAACTCATCCAGACAAGCCATGCGGATCCGCTCCGGTGTGGCCGGATTATCCAAAGAAAACCAGCCATTATAACCTTCTTCTGCCCTTGCTGATGCAATGGCGTCTCTGATGGCAAAAAATACGGCTGAGGCGAGAAAGAATGGTGGCTCCCCTACCGCTTTTGAGGAGTGGATCGCCTTTGTATTTGGAGCATCCTGCCAACAACATTCATTTTTTAATAAAAAAAAAGATGAATACTTCTTAGATACAAATGCCCAGTGTTCATGAGCTTCATAAATAATTCGTTTGTTTTACTTATTTTTAGTTAGGGGTATTGTTGCTTTTTCCTAATTACGTAGTATAATATTACCCAATATAGAAATGTGAACTTAATTTCCAGACATCACAAAAGAGAAAAGTGACAACTTAGTTGGGGGAGATTAACATTCTATGCACCACATGTCAGTTCTGTACGAGTTGTATTTGCTTCATCAGATTGTTTACCACATGTATGATCAGACACGCATAATGTTCCTGTTAGTTCTCTGGGTTAGTTACTAAGGGGGAGAGTTTTTGTTTATCTTGTTTATTTTGTTGGCCTTATCCTTGTGACAAAAACAAATAAATAGGAATGTGTGTTTTGTTTGTACGTACGTAGTAACTGGCTGGGTGTAGAGTCCTACCATGTCACGCATATGTTTCCGTAAACAAGTGGAAGATGATCCCTGATCTCTACGAAGCTGAAATAGAGACCCATGCAGTCTAGGAATGTCAGTTGCCGAAGAGTTCAAGTGCAGATATAACTAGGGTTCTCATATGGTTCCTATATAAGTACAGATATGATCT